TACTGCAATTTTGTCCAAGCATACTGGCCTCTCGGATTTAGATGTTATAGCCACATAATGCTCAATTCTGAGAAAATCTCCAAGTCCACTGGATATTCCAGGACATTGCGTCAGGCAATTGAGGAGTTTTCTGCCAATGCTACATGGTTCTCTTTGGCTGATGCTGGTGATGGCATTGATGATGCAAATTTTGTCTTTGAGACAGCAAATGCTGCAATTCTCCGTCTCACCAAGGAGATTGCATGGTATGAAGATGTTCTGGCTTCAGAATCTTCTATGAGAACTGGTCCCCCATCTACTTATGCTGATCGGGTGTTTGCCAATGAGATTAGCATTGCTGTGAAAACAACGGAGCAAAGTTACTTCAACTACATGTTTTGAGAAGCTCTGAAGACTGGCTTTTATGATCTTCAGGCCGCTAGGGATGAGTATAGATTCTCATGTGGGGTTAGAGGTTACAATCGGGACTTGGTGTGGTGTTTTATGAATGTGCAGACACGCCTTATAGCACCTATCTGTCCACATTATGCTGAATTTATTTGGGGAGAGCTTTTGAAGAAGGATGGTTTTGTAGTGAATGCAGGCTGGCCGGCAGCTGATACTCCTGATCTTACACTGAAGAGTGCCAATAAATAGTTGCAGGACTCAATTGTTTTGATGAGGAAGTTGCTTCAGAAGGAACTTTTAGGCTCAAAGAAAGCAAAAAAGAAAGGTCCTCCAGTTGCATCACTGACAGTAAACAAATAACAGGCTTGAGAGTAAACAAATAACAGGCTTGATATATGTAAATGAACAGTTTGATGGTTGGAAAGCCGAGTGCTTGAGTATTCTCCAGAACAAATTTAACAGAGAAACTCAAACTTTTGCCCCAGACTCAGAGATATTGGAGGCTTTACAGCAGAGTTCTGTAGGTCAGTCTTCCAATTTTAAACAAATCCAAAAGCTCTGTGTACCTTTCTTGAAGTTTAAGAAGGAAGAAGCAATTGCACTTGGTGCTCAAGCCCTGGATTTGAAATTGCCATTTGGTGAAATTGAGGTTCTTCAGGAAAACTTGGACTTGATCAAGAGACAGATAGGTCTAGAAGATGTGGAAATTTTATCTGCAGCTGATGCTGATTCTTTGGCTAAAGCTGGACCTTTAGCTTCTCTATTAAATCAAAATCCTCCATCCCCTTGAAATCCAACTGCCATCTTTTTAACTCAGTAGCTACTTGGTGAGTTTTGGGAAGTTTCCCCTTTTTAAACTAGGTCATAGTTCCTACTTTTTTTTTTTTGGTCATCTAAACACAAATATAATTTCTTTTTTTTGATATATATGTAGATGTAGGATTAGATTAGTATAGTGTTGTCAAGTTTTTGCCTTGATCTGATTCGAGGTTTTACCTTTTTTCCCATATGTTGTCCTATGTTTTTGTTTTGTTGGTGCATTCCCATCCTATATTTGTAAGAGTTTAAGCTCCAGTGCCAATAAAAGGTGCATTCAATCAGCCCCTTTCCTAGCCGTTGATTTCTTAGTTTTGGAATTTGAATGGGTGTTTATGAGAAGATGCACATGCACATAAGAGTGACTGCTATTTGAATGACAAGCTTAAGGATGTTAACTTGCAAACAATTTATTCATGTTGTCTAACTTTGTTCGGTGGTTACATCCTTAACTTTGTTACAATAGTGGCTTAAGAAAATTGGTTTGCAATTTAGAAAATTAATGCTTTTATTATACCTGTCTGAATATAAAATTGCTACACTGATTTTGCACTAGCTTGCTATTTGAGAGTCTTTTTGTAATACAAAAAAACATGCATAATATTGTCTACGTCCGTTGTTTCATTCTACTTTGCATTACATGGTGTTGGTCTTGGAGGGTGAGTTGAGATCTATGGTTTATTGTTACTGTCAATATTTTCATATTGTAATAGAGTAATGGTGTCTGTGTTCTGAGTCTAGTAGTGTGTCACCGTCATATTAAAGTCTGTAATTGCAACTCTGTTTGGGAGTAATTTACCAATCAAATACAGTGTCGTTCTTATTGTCACATTTATATGTTGAATTTCTAGTTCTTTTATGTTCTGTAGCGTATCAGGTGCAGATAATTAGTTCTGATTTAGCATAGGTTCCATCAATTTGGGTTTTTTTTTTTTTTGGATCTGGACCAGAAGCACCCCTAGATCGGAAGTGCTCTGATACCAAATTGATGGAACCTATGCTAAATCAGAACTATCTGCACCTGATAGTACGCTACAGAACCTAAAAGAACTAGAAATTCAACATATATACGTGACAATAAGAATGACACTGTATTTGATTGGTAAAATACTCCCAAACAGAGTTGCAATTACAGACTCTAATATGACGGTGACACACTACTAGACTCAGAACACAGACACCATTACTCTATTACAATATGAAAATATTGACAGTAACAATAAACCATAGATCTAAACTCACCCTCCAAGACCAACATACCTAGGCCACTCAGAGATCCTTTCCCAAAACCCCACTCCAAATTCACTGAATACATGCATACCTCACTACACACACTCCCCTCCCTTTTATCCTATCACTAAGAACCTTCTAGAAAATTCCTAATTAACTAACTCATCCATTTCAGGCCCATCACGTGGTTAACAAGAGCATTCATTTTATGAAAACTGGCTGATTCATGTGATTATCGTGTATAGGTTGCAAGAATACTCCACCCAGGAACGTATATGTACTGTGATTATCCTGATTTGGGTCTTGCTTTTTTAGTGGTGGGGAGAGGTTGAATTTTTTTGTGAACAACATAAGATTTTGATGGAAATTGCTGATGTAGAATTCTGGTTTGCTAACGTCAGATATCCCTTCTCATCTTTTAAATTAATTACTCCTTAAGTTTCCTTCATTGTTTTCTCTACCACTTCTCCATGGCCTAGTTGTCGATTTTCTGACTATTGGGAAAATTACATTTTGTTCCGAAGTGTTCTTGTAGTGATGAGTTATTTTGTTAGTTGATGGAACATCCATAAAAGCATACCTAAATGATGATCAAATTATACTTGTTTTCTTGCTCGGCAAGGATTCTGGAGTTTATTTTCTCACTTCTACATGCAACTTAATTGAAAGCTGTGGGCCTACATTTATAGCTAAAAGCCTGATATGCGTATTTATTTTATTTAGAGAGCGGAGCTAGAATAGAATCTAAAACTTACAATTATTACATGCTAATCGAGATTTTTTATCGTTCAAGTTTATAATTATTTTAGTGCTCAAGGCTTTCTATGTTATATTGGTATAAATATGCACATTGTTTAATTCTATCAGCAATGGAGTTCAAATTAACTTGTTTGGTATAGCAGTAAGTAGAAGGTGCAATATTTTGGATTTGGGAGTGATAATCGAAGGGATCGAGAAGCTATGAAGTAAAGGATTTCCCATGGGTCTAACTGGGAGCAATACTATTACTGTGCTAGCCTTTTGTGCTTCTTAGCTAGGTACACAATTATATTGTGCTTGTAGTAGTCTGCTTCTGGATATTGGCACAACATTGTTATGTACTTCCAGTTAGACAAAATGTTCAGTTCAGTTTTACTATGTTTATTTCGAGAAGAGATCTTTAACATATCTGAATCATGTTTCGTTTTATATAATATTCTTGTCAGTTAGTTTTAGCAAATTCTGCTTATGTTCTTGCTGATGCGATTTCCTCAATAATGGTTCGTATCAACAGGCTTATTGCTGACGAGTGACGATGATCGCCTTTAGTAATCAATAAGACATAGCAATACTGTGCATCATCATCCCTTTTAACACCCTTTCTCTACCCCCACTAGATGTGCATTTTTATTTCTCTGCTGTTGATTTGATTTACATGCATGGATGCTTATCTGAAGATCCATTACATGATTGACCTTCTATAATCTGTTTGACTGAATTAATTGTCTTGATTCATACTTTCAGGTTGCCGGAATAAATATATAAGCTTTACTTGGCATATTTGTCTGAGGAACCATGTAAAGAATACCATGTAAAAGAGAAAGTAAATTAAGAGATTAAATTACTCTAACAAAATTTACTTTAATTTTAATACAAAAAAAAAATTACTTTAATTTAATATATAAGAATAGATAAATTGAGTGTAGACTAGGTCAAGAGTACCAATCTGCTGCTGTATGGCGAATTCGAAACATGGGTATAGTATAAATGCGAACTTTCTGCTTTGGGGAGAAAATAGCTGTTGTTAACTTCAACTATGTAACCTTCATGATTGTTGTTAGCTTTCCCTGTGATTCTTTCGTACAGCGAATAATCGCTGCACTAGCACAATCCATTCTGTGTTCATTAAGTTCCCTAAGGTGCAAGACTTGGAATTTGTAACCTCAATTTTAGAGGAAGTGAATTGTTCAAAATAGAGGCACTATGTGCAACTACCAGTTTCTCCGTATAAGTACAGGTTGTATTAAATTACAGTACATTTGGTTGAAGATAAATTTTAAGAATACTAGAGAAATGTAATTACTAGGTATTTATAGGGAAAGTTGAATAGATGAGGAAGTTAAAAAAAAGTAATTTGGTTTGACAAAATTTTATCAGGAAAATATATGACAAAAGGCGTGTCAACAGTGCTTTACCCGGATTTTCTCAAAAAACCACCCTCAAATCGAACAGTGCAAATTACTACCTTTCTAAATAAGCCAAACATTTCACATAGATGAATTTTGATCGTTGAACCAAACATGATCAAGTGGAAATCCACATGAAAGTTGTCTGAGTTTCTTCAACAAAACCCTCCAACCAAACACCACCATGTTCAATTCTTATTTATATAAAACAAAAAACAGAATGAGAGTGTGTGCTTGCTTTGGTGGAGCGGGGAAGCACCACGTTTCGTGAGGCAGACCTCACGTTGCAATCACAGTTTTTTGTGTCAGAGCATTATAGATCCCCATGTAGGCTTGTACATAAAACATTATTTTGGCATTTATTGCGATCATAATACAAAACAAAGAAAAACATATAATATAATAGTCTGATAGAGCTGCCGACAAAACATTTGCGGGCTGAAGTCGAACCACCCATGGGTGATTGTATTAAATGGCTGATCATAAAAGTTTTGCGAAACTAATTTAGTACAAGCACACACATCACAATCACAATGGTCCAAGGTCCAAGGGTGTTCCCACAAATGGGTAGCCCCTGGTTCGAATTCCATCAGGTAGAAAATATAGCTTCAAATAAGAAATATGATACTGAAAACTTTATGGGGTTGAGAGAAATTGCAGGAAAACAAATTATTCATTCAGTCTCATTTCTTTTCTCCTTTATGGACAGTATGCTATTGCTGCAGCTGATAAGAACTCATCCATGGCCCTAACAGATGACCCCTTAAAGCTATCTTCATCTTTCAAAGCATTCCTTATCATATCTCTAACGAGGCCAGCTTTCTTCCTCATCTTCATTCCATTCTCCGTCTCGTTCATCACCAATTCAATCTTAGCCACTATATCTTCATGCTTAACCTCACAGCTTTTCCCTCTAGCAACCTCAACACAAACACCAACCTCTTCCTCCAACAACTTGCAGTTGAAAAACTGCTCCGCCGCCATAGGCCACCCAAGAATAGGAACACCATGACTAAGAGATTCCAGCACAGAGTTCCATCCACAGTGACTCAAAAACACAGACACTGCTTCGTGTGAGAGAATTTCCACTTGGGGTGCCCAATCATGCACTATCAAACCCCTCTTCGATTCCTTAATCTTCTCCATAAACCCTTCTGGCAACCATTCTTCCGCTCTGAACTCCGAATTTATGTCAAAACCAATGGGTGGCCTCACAACCCAAATGAAATTCTTCCCACTGCGCTCCAACGCCATTCCCAATTGCATCATTTGCGAAGCAGAGATTGTGTTCATCGATCCAAAACAAACAAACAACACCGAATTCGAAGGCTTCGTGTTAAGCCATTCATGGCAAAGCTCAGGGTTGATTCCTCCTCCTTTCCCTCGCGAACCGCTTCCGGTCGAGAGGAGAACCGGCCCGATTGCCCAAGCCGGCCGGCCGAACTTCCGGGTGAAGTAGCGCAGCCCAACCGAGTCAAAATCCTCGACCGTGTTGAACAAAAACCCGTCCGAGTTGACCCACTCGGAAAGATTCTTGCTTTGGAACAGAGACCACGGATCAACACCATCTGCTTCTGATATATTGTTGGGTAGCTGCGTCCTGTGAATAGCACGCGCTTCTGGAAAATCCGGCAACGAAAAATGGTCGGAGTCGACGCGCCGGTGGGGAAGGTTCATCCAGAGAGAGCAGTAACATGCCAAGCCATAACCGCTACAACCGCTGAAGATAACATGAAAGACACCGAGTTGTTTGGCGACGCTTGCGGTCCAACCAAAGAAAATGTCAGCTATGATACATAGTTGTTGTTGTTGTTGTTGGTCAATGATGTTTTGGATGAGTTTGTTGAAAGCTGGTCTCATAGAAGTAGATGCTTCGAGGAGTCGAATGACGAGGTTGTATGGGATGACATCGGTGTTCTCTGTGTTGGGAGGGAGGCCGTGATCGGAGCTTTTGAAAGGGATCTCAAGGAGGTTGATGGAGGAGTGTGGTGGGAGAGAGGTTCTGAGCTTTTTGATGTTTAAAGAGGTGTTGATTATTGTGATGTTGTAGTTTTTTCTTTGTTCTAGGTGAAGGGCTAACGCCAAAAAAGGGATTATGTGGCCTTGTGCCATGAATGGGAATAACACTATGGATTGTTTCCTTTGTGCCATTGCTGCTGAGGACACACAAACAAACAGAGAGAGAAAGCGAAAGAGAGAGAGAGAGAGGAGGAGTTTTTGTTCAACGTTGATTTTAATTTTTTTATTTTCTTCTTTTCTTCTCCTTGGAATTCTTCTGTTGCCTTTACTTTATTATTAATGAAATTGAATATTTTGATGGTGGGTGGGTAATACAAAAAGGAAACCTCGTTAATGACAACGAATAATATTCTAGACGTGGTTTAGTTTGGTGGGGCGTTCGTTAATTTATTGGCTGTATTTTTTTTTATTTTATGGCTCTAATTATGTTTTTGGATGAGTTATGTCCTAGTCTCAAATAATTCAGCTCTAACTAACCTCAAATATCTTCTTTGGGATCCATATCCTTCTCTTTTGGTAAAACAAAAATGTTATAATTAAAAGTTAAGTCGAATGTTAAAGTGGAAACTTCTGACAGATAGGCAGCAGAAAAGGTAGCAGTATAAGTGTATAACTATTAACTACACTAGCGATAAAAAAAAAGTAAAAGAAAAAAATATTTACGTGAAGTTTTTTCAAATTATTAAAAAAAATATGTATAATTAATTTAAGTGGAATTCAAAGAATATAATTAAAAAAAGTAAAAATCTCAATAATTTTCAATAATTAATTTTAAAATTAAAATTTACAATAAAAGGTGTTTAAAAAAATTAAGAGACTTTAGTACTTTTAAAGAATAAGTTTCAATGTGATATTTAAAAATAAATTATTCATTCAAATCACATTTTCCTTAAAATCTCGGTCTTCCGGAGTGAATGTGAATTATGGTTCAAACTTCAAATTTTGTAATGTGAATAACTTTCGTATAAATCAAAAAACATTATGTACTAAAAAAAAACATTAGATACGTTGTGTTTGTGTATAAAAACTTGGGTGTGTTTGTGTTTATAACTTTTAAGGATACTTTTGTGCTCTTTTTTTAAGAAAAAAAAATACTTTTTTAATTAAAAAGTCTGGTAAAACATTTAATAATAATAAATTAATTTTGTAAACAAAAAAAGCAAGAATATAAAAAAATACTGTTTAAATTCTTTTTCTTGTAAGTAAAAAATAGTAACTTCAAAAATAAAATAAAAATGGTAAAAATATTATTCAATGTTTCTTGAAGCTAGAATTAATTTCATTTTTTCTAGCTAAAACAAAATAAAATGTGGGAGTGGAAGAATAACTGAATAAATGCAGAAAATGCGGAAATATTTCCGCAGAACACAGGTAGAAGCCTACATTTGTGGTGGATAACCCAACCCAACATAAATGTTGTATTGTCCTTAAAAAGCCCATTCATAACTGATCGTCGAAGCCTGTATCATCAGGTTAAGAACTCCAAATTCGTACCCTAACAATTTTGGCTCTTTGACCAACAGGAATTTTTTAAGGTTTTAATTTATCAATGTTGTATTTGATTCACGATATTTATCAATGGGGTCATTTAGTGACGCGAGCCAGCATCACTTAGTGCCGAGAGCCGACAAAACGAGCTTGGCTCGGCGAGCCAACCCGCCAAACGGGGCGGAGCCGGCTGAGTTTTTCAACCCATGATGGCGGGCATAGGCGGGCCGAGGCAGGTCAGTGTAGAATAGGCTCGGGCTGGCGGGTCAACCCGCCAAACGAAGCGGGGCGGGCTGAGTTTTTCAGCCCATTTTCAAAAACGGGACGGAGCGAGCTGGCTCATTTTTTGGCGGGTTGATGGCGGGGTCGGGCGGGCCGCCCACTTTGCCATCTCTAAGTGCCGCTACCATCCCCGCGTTACTCACATTCTTTTATTTTTATTTTTATTTTTTTCAATTGAGTGATGCGCCTCATCTCCTAGGGCACTCACAAGATTGTGTCAAGTGGCACAATCTCGTTAGTCCCGTTACCGTAAAACTTCGGAAAGTCATAACTTTTGACTCGCGTATCCAAATGAGATGTTTTTTTTATTTCACGTAACTTTTCGAGATCTACGCAATGACACCTCATTTGACATATTTTATCTCTCACAAACATAGTTCAAATCTGTAAAAAAGTGGAACTAATGTTGTAAATTTGAACTATGTTAATGGAAGATAAAATATGTCAAATGAGGTGTCATTGCGTAGACCTCGAAAAATTATGTGAAATAAAAAAAAATCTCATTTGGATACCCGAGTCAAAAGTTATGACTTTCCGAAATTTTACGGTAACAGGACTAACGAGATTGTGCTGTAACACCCCGTATATATACGGTAATGTTATTATACTATCGTATTAAGCAGCGCTTAATTAAAAATGCGGAATATCTTTTTCTTTTCAATTATGATGTCATTATCGTTACCAACTTGCTTATTAATCAATTAATAAAACATCGCCGGTATGTAATTGCAATAAAACAACTAACTGAAATACCTTATAACATAAATAATAAAAGTGTGTCTCTATAAATCACGGAACTACCACAAGTAGGCCGGACCAACTAGCAGGTTATACAACTCCAATCTAAAAGAACTGACATAAAGTGTCATGGACAATCCCCATGCTCACTCAAATAAGGCAACAAGCTCAACATCAGTCTCAACAACAACATAATCATAAATAGCGGGAAACATAAACAGCATCCAAATCCAGTCATGGCAACAATACAACATAATATCATAATCAGCTAAGCTCTGGCCTCCTGCCGCCAGAGGCATCAGTCACCATACTACCTGAACCTGAAATAAGCATTCCCTAAACGTGGGGTGAGATCTCTAAACAAGAAATCTCAGTAAGACAAGGGGTCCTCAAGGATCTTCCACCCCAAGCTCACTTACATGTGCAATATAAGTTTAAAAGCAGTTCATCAATATCATTTCTAAAACAGTGCAATGCAGCAGATAATCATGTCATGTGTGTCAATTCTATTCTACTGGCCAGAGAAATGCAGGATTTATATACGCCAAATACCCACACATAGTGCAAGACGCCACTTGCATTCACCCCGGATCACCATATCGTATGACGCCACATACTCAGGCTTACCCTCAAGATGAAACAACACATGCATATTAAAAGCCATTACACATAAAGCTCAACAACATTTCAAATATTCAAAGCATGTAACACAGCATGCATATAACCACACCCCCATGGGACATGGTGGAACCACAACATGGCTAAACCGAGGACACGAAAGCTTACCTTGCAAGCTAACACCCAAGGCCAAGAGTCCACAGATCAAAGTCCAAACACAGCAGATTCGCAATCTGTTATGGACCAACAATATATCAATAACATGCACCGCAAGAATACAATATTAAGACAACGCATTTCCATTACGTTTTACGTCTTAAGGCTCCATACCAAGTCATAAGCCCTTAATCACTTGATTCTGACTTACTTCATTAATTACAGAAGTTCAACTTCATCAATCTCGGGTCCATAAACCCCCAATAGCCTACTGTACACACAGCACAACTACTGTTCAACAAAATCCCAGAATATTCGGATATTCCACGGGGCATATCCGGATATCTCACTGACCATATCCGGATATACAATATCCAAATATTCAGATTCCCATATCCGGATATGCAAATCCCATATCCGGATATCACATCCGGATATTTCTCGGGCACATATCCGGATATTTCACGACAGAATGCAGAAACTGCATTTCATGAAGATATCCTTCCAAGGTTCCATTTTTAACACTTTTAAACGTTAAAGCATGCATCTTTATACTGTTTAAGGGTCATACCACTATTTGTTACTTGTTTAACTCTTTAAACATGCAAAGACACTTCTTTTATTCAACAAAACACATGATCAAGGTTGGTACAACTCACCAAAGCTCAAAACAGAGGAATAAGCCTATTGGAGCTCTCAAATCTGCCTCTACAGGTCTGACCTTCAAGGCACATGAAAATGACTTCACAAAGGTTGGTTCTTTCTCACCAAAGGTCACCACTTGGACCTCAAAGTGCCATAACCAAGGCTCACAACATTCAACTCACAAACTCAGAACCTCTCCACCTCACTTACAGTGACAAGAACTCAGAAAAGCCCTCACACTCCCACACCAAGCAAGGTGGTATGTTAGCCAAGTTGAGACACGTGAAACACGTCGTGGATGTTAGCCAAGTTCGGAGGCAAGGCAAGCCGGTAGGCAACAGGTTCTACTCTACCAAGAATCTGGTATGGCTCAATAAACCGCGGGCTCAGCTTCCTCACTCCGAGTGCCCGTCCAACACCGGTGACAGGTGAAAGTCTCACAAACACGTGCTCACTCTCACTGAACTCCAGTGGACGATGCTTGACATCGTAGTAACTCTTCTGACGATTCTGCGTCTGCTTCAGCTTTTCCCTGATCATCTGGATCTGCAAGGTGGTATCTTGGACAAAGTCCAAACAACTCACGATCCCCAACCTCAGACCAGCAGGTAGGTGTACGACACCTCCTACCGTAGAGCGCCTCGTAGGGTGTCATGCCCAGGCTAGCATGGAAACTGTTGTTATACGAAAACTCCACCAATGAAAGGTATCTATCCCATGCTGAGCTCTGCTCCAACATGCAAGCCCGCAACATGTCCTCCAAGGTCTGGATAGTTCACTCAGTCTGTCCATCAGTCTGAGGGTGATAGGATGTACTCAGTCTTAACTGCGTACCAAAAGCTCCCTGCAGCGCCTCCCAGAACCGAGATGTGAACTTTGGGTTCCTATCACTGATGATACTCTCGGGCACCCCGTGAAGCCTCACAATCTCGCAAACGTAAAGCTTGGCCAAATGTTCTGTAGTGAAGCTCACCTTCACTGGAAGAAAATGGGCAGACTTTGTCAATCTGTCCACAATGACCCATATCGAGTCACAGCCAACCTGAGTCTTCGGCAAACCCACAACGAAGTCCATGGAAATGCTCTCTCATTTCCACTCTGGAATCTGAAGAGGTTAAAGCTTACCAGACGGCTTCTAGTGTTCAATCTTCACCTTCTGGCAAATCAAACACTTGGACAGATACATAGCTATGTCCTTCTTCATTCCTGGCCACCAGAAATTTCTCTTCAGGTCTTGGTACACCTTCGTAGCACCAGGATGAACAGTAAACTGTCCCTTATGGGCCTCCGCCATAACCTCTTCGGTCAAGGGACCTCGAGGAATCACAACACGCTTCTGAAACAACAGAAGTCCATCCTCATTCCAAGAC